CACTTTAAACAAAGTCAAGCCATCAAGCCTCGCTTCCTATTCCTATTAGGAGTAAACATCCTATTAAAAATGAAATCGCAGTGGCAGCAAATCGTTGTAAACTCATCTCCCAAGTAATTCATTAGTTTTTAACGACTTCATCCAGCGAAACAAAATCTAAATTAGAAATGAAAAGCGGTGTTGGATGAAGAAAAATATGATTCCACAATCCTTGCAATTCGCTAAAATTATAAATGACAAACTGATTATTAGGAGTTATTTTTGTTATCAGTTAATCGCTATAAAACAAATAATTTGGCGATTTGTTATCAAAATGTCGAAAAAAGAAAAGAAAAATTTTACAGAATGTGGTGGAAAAATTTATTAAAATTTATTAAAATTTGAAATTTTCTAATTTTACCTGTTAATTCTACTCATTCCTAATTAATATATTAAAAGATTTTATCGCTGATTAAATCAACTGGTTTTAATAATTTGTTTTGTCGTGTATAGGTAGAAAAATATTTCATTGAATCCAACAATTATTTTATAAAATAATAGTCCCTCTCTCGAGCGCTCACCTTTCTCGCTTTATCCATAAAACCTTGCATCTAACCCTAACCTTTTAACACTCTGATTTTTTCCTTTGTATTCTTTTATGTACAGCTAAATCGAATTAAAAAGCCTTTTTCAGATTGAAAAATCCAGATATGAACGATTGTGATGATAACGATTGTAATTTAAATAGTTTTATTAATTTCATTCATTTTATTGCAGTTTGCAAGAGTTTTAAGAAAATTTTTATAAATTTCACTTGCTCAACGAGTTGAAATTGTAAATAATTTTCTCCAATTTGTTACGTGCTCAATAAAAGATTAAATTAAATAATCAACAAATATTAGTCAAATAGATCAAATAGAAATAAAAAATATTCACCTAATTTCACAGATCCACTTATCTTTCACTATTACTTTCCCACCTTTCAAATAACCAGGATTTCCAGGAAATTTTTTGCAACAACCTCCGGAAAACAACACTTCCTTTTTCCCGAATTGGTGACATCCCTGAAAAGATAAAAACTTCATTTGCCATGGGAACTCTGACAAATATTTCAGAAACAATTCTTTTACGTCAAGAAGCATTGTCGTTCTGAAATGCGATGATTTCATTGCCTCCTCTGATAGCAGTAAAATTGCCACTAAAAATACCGGCGATAACGACCTAGCCATAAGTAAATTCCGCCTCAAAAATTTCTAACCATACTAACATTTAACCTTGCCAGAAACGGTGGGCGTTACAAAAAAATAGTAATCTTTTGATTGATATTTTCAAACCTTGATTAATCCACATTTTCTAGCCTCAGCATTTTTCAATTGTCTTTATCAATGATTTGTACAAAATTTATTAAGAGCAAAAAATGCTCTCAAAATACAACTTAAAGCAACAAAAAAATTATTCCTGCCTCTAATACAATAAATCCAAACAGCAAAAAATAAGGTGGATTCTAAACTACAAGATCCGAAAATCTATATAAATGATAAACAATATCAATGTTTAACTTTAAAAATTATTGACACCCGCTTCGCGTTTTACCTCGAAGAACATGATTCATAATTTTTCGTTTTCTGGACAATATGAAAAATTAATTGGTTGACAAAATGACAAAGAAGTAAGCTATAAAATAAAATCTAAGATAAATTAAAAGAAAAGGAAAGACGATTATCTTGAGGAATCAAATAAATGTGTATGATATACATTTTGTACAATCCTTACATTGAAAATTGCAGACACAGACGAGGAATGACTCATAAAAGCCATCACTACACCACATAATAAAATGCGGCAAATATATGATGACAATAATACAATTAAAATTGTTCTCCTTTGTGGGCACCGAATAATAGGAGATCACCAATACAAATCACTACAGGGAATATGAAGAATATATAATATTCAAATAACAAAACAGCAATAGACATGAATCAGAAATTCTAATATGGTCATGGCATATGAAATAACAAAGCAAAAACATGTCTTCTAAAATATCTGAATGCGGTTTACAGAGAAAAAAAGAAAAAAAACTAAGACAAAATCAGCATAACATCAAAGGATTCCATATCCCTCATAAAACTTCACCTTCTTCAAGTTCTTCTTCAGCTGGAGGCTTGGAAGGCGGTTGAAATGAATTTGATATGAATTTAGAGCTATCTAAACAAAATTTTATTCATTTTTCAATATTTTATTGTATGAAATTTCCTTCAACCTATGTCTCGCAGAAAAAATTGAAAAATAAATAAAAGAAATAAAGAAGCTGATCTTTTAACGCCAATTTAAGGCTAAATTTTGAAATAATCGAAGAAATATAATACAAACTTGGATAATTTGAAGACAATGAACTGTTGTGAGAATGACCAAGAGATGGATGTGGCCGCCTATTATAAGACTGTGAGATAGGCACTATGGATGATACTCTCGAATCAGTGCCACCGGAAAGAAACAATTCATTAGGCCTTATTCTCGATGAGTGATGATGCTGAATTTCTGATTTATGCAACTGGGTGATATAAATATTAGTTAAATTTGGCAAAAATGGATTAAAACTCAAAATTTTGAAACCTTTATTTACAACCTTTATTAAAAAATACATTTATGACTTACACGATGTGTCGCTGATGTTTGTGTATGGCCTCCACTTGCGTTATAATGAAATTCAGCAGGCCAAGTATTTTCAATTTTATTATGCCCGTGTATTTCTGCATTATGGGGTAAATTCAATCGATTTTGTGCTGATAAGTTTGCTCTAAAATAACAAATCGATCGGAACTTAAGAATATTTTATTATTTTTTAGAATATTTCTTTCTGTAAAAAAACATTTTCATACTTCATATTTCCATAGGAAATTGGTACAACTGATGAACTCGGCTGCGTTGAAAGAAATTTCGTCCTTTTTGTGTCTAAATCACTGTGGCGATTCATATGTGCATTATTAGAACTTTGTTGTCCAAAAAGACCCGGATCACTAAAATAATCCATCATCTTTATTCGCATATAAGATTAGATTCAATTGAACATAAGATTTTATATATTTATTCTGAACTTTTAATGGGTTTACATATTATAATATCTATTATAACGAAACAAACAGTGATTGCGAAATTTTTGCCGGAATTTCAGAATCACCGTGATGCCTTGATTTGACCACGTGTGACAATGAAGACTGCAAAACTGATTCATCGTCATGAGGCCTTTTGCGAGATTGTTGTGAGGGACCTAAGATACATCACAAATCACAATAAATCATAAAATGCTATTGCGGTAGTTAAATTTTAAGTAAATATATTATTGAATATCATAACCGAATATATTTTATACAGTGAAATAGGCTAAGTATTTTTAATTACAAAAAATGATTCCTTATATCATAAAACTTTATTATTCACACCTTGATAACATTTAATACTTACCACTAGATTGACTTTCCGAACGCCAATTCCTCGAGCGTTCATGATCAGACGCTTCGCGGCGCCTTTCTGCTTCTTCACTTACTTCACTCTTTAGTTCAGGAACAATAGTTTTTCGCTCACCATCTGAAAGATAATATTTAGCGAAACAGAATGGAATAGAATATGTAATCTCGCATATTAAATTAGAAAATTTATAATATAACTCAAACATAATCAAAAAACAAAATCATTTTAAACCACAGACCTGTCATAAAAGGTGGTAAACCTAGAATGGCTTCTTTGCCAGAACTTGCAGATGCTGATGCACCATCCGGTACCATAAAATTTGGACGCTGAATTTGCGGATTGTGAGTAGAATTTTGCGTGCTATTCGGTACCATGCCTAAAATTCGTGCCAAATAATAAACCTATATCTCTAAAAGTGGCAATGAAAAAATTTTAATAAACCCCAATAAAGATTAATCACTAAATGAAAATTGGAGTACGGCATTAATAGCTGAAACAATGTTTTTGAGAATTTAAATACTGTGAAATACCTTAGCTGAACCAACCAGAAAACAAGAGTCAATGAAAAATATAGAGATATAACCAACCGGTACGTTGTATATAGTCCTTGATATCAATTTTTCGTGCAGGTCCAGTTTTTACATCGCTTTTCCGCCCACCATTCGTATTACATAGACGTGGAGGCTCGGGAGGTGGAGGGAGCTTAGGATAAGCATGGGATCCGACAGCTGTAAAAAAGCAACACCTATATAATAAAAAAAATGGGTAAATGAAAATAATGATTTGGCCAGTTAAAAAAGAATAAAAATAAATAAAATTGAAATCAACCAGGCTGCTGATGGACCATTCGCTTATTCGACGAGGCTTGATTTAAATCATTTCGTAAACGCGCATGCCTTTTTATATTTAATTGGTCACCATGCTGACTGTAAATCCTCGAGAAATCCTCCGTAAGCTCTCAAATAATAATCTGTTTATTGTTAAAAGAAAGGGAAAAATAAAAATACGAGTCCACCATAATTAAATTTTCCTATTGGAAAATATGGAAATTAGATTTAAAATTCATAAAAACCCTTGAATTTTGAAACCAAAAATGTAATTTCAGATCAAATATAGAAAATATACCCATTAATTTATCATAGTGCAAATTTGGATCGACAACTTTATACCATAACGGCACTTCCGGAGTTGGTTCAATCTAGAAAAAAATCTGATATGTAATATCTAATATGTAATTAAAAATATAGAAATAAGCCACAAATTCACTGAAAAACGAATAAATCAAAACCAAACTTTTTTATATATCTAAATGAAATTTTCAACGTTTAACCTTTATTTCAGCCCATAAACAGGCGAGATTTATGCACACAGAAGCGATTGTTCTAGCCGTAAATCGGACACCCCATTCAGTCATATGCAACCTTAAATAATAAAACGAACTTTTGTCAAATTATAAATAACAAGTAATTCATAAAATCGATGGATGAAATTTTAAAATATGCAACTTTTAAATAACTTACTTATATACTTATTGTAAGAGTTGAAATAACTTAATGTAAGAGTTTTACCATACCATATAAGCTTATGAAAAAAAATTTTATCATTTAAGAAAAAACATACACATCACTGGCAAACCAGAAAGCGATTTCGGAAATTTTTCGATTACCTGCAGAGGCAACTTATTAATTTTCAACAAAATTAAATTCTATTTTGTAATCATCAATCTAATAAAAATAACCTCGAATAAAATTTGCCATATTTTTGAGAACATAAGGATGCGGCAAATCAACTGATAGATCAAACGCTGCAAATGCAGTTTTATAAACTAATGAAACTAATGAAAAAAGAGAAAACGTTGGAAAATTTTGCTTGCATTTGGAAATTTCAGTTAAATAAAAATCTGAATTCTAGATTGCTGAAATTGAAACATATTTAACTTCTACAAGCTCTATAAAATGAAATCTCAAAAACCTGATCTTCACTTTCATCCTAATATCTTTACCTTTTCCTCTATGTTATATAAAGAGTATGAAATTAGTTTTTTAATTAAGTGACTTGAGACTAAGTTACTGGTGAAGTTACAAATTAATTCTTAAATGTGCGGTCGACAAACTTGTCAAATATTAAGCATTAATGAAGTAGCTCAAATTTATCTTCTTAATCTAGAAATTTATTGGTTTAATGGATTCATTTTATTTACCAATGCCTTTTGCAATTTTTTAACGTTTAACATTAAAATTCATAGAAATGCAATAAAAACGTATTTACCATAAAAATGAAATTATTTATTAATATAATGAAATTGTAAAAATATTATACAATTATAATGAAATTATTGTAATAATTATGATATAATGAAAAACGAAATTATTTTTTAAAAACATACCAATTGTCTGTAGTACTACATTTTCAAGAAAAGTGAGGTAACTTGCAACATTTCTTAAATGCTGAAAAAATTAATTTAGGAAATTTTATATAATATCAATAAATGAATGAAATTCATAATTTGCATTTATTTGAATTCGAAAAAATAGACTTGTTGCATAAACGTAATAACAATTAAAAATAAAAATTAATCAAATAAACTCACTTCGTTACTAATGTAACCGTTTGTAAAAGGAAATTTGATTAGCCATAGGACGCGAGCAACGTGTTCCAATTTTCGAGGACATTCTTCAGTTTTTCCAGCGAAAAAAAGACATGCTGCTCCAACATCCTGAAGACTATAGCTTGAAGAGACAAATTCGTCACTCCCAGCCTAGTAATAGATGAAAAATTTACCCTTGCATCGAACTTTGAGAACGAATGAAAAACAAAGAAGCGATGCATATGCATCATCGCTGCACATATGCAAAGTTGTGATCTGAAAAATGAAAGAACGATATACGAAGAACGAAAATATAACTAAATAATGATCAACATACAAGGCAGTGAAAAAAAAAAAACCAGGTAAAGGTATCAATTATTAATTGACAAAAATTAAAAAAAAAAAATTAAATTTGAAATAAAAAAATTTTACATCCTCATTCGAGAATCATGATTTAGTAAATCGGCCATTTTGTGAATTGTTTGAGCAGAAACACGTCGATGCTGCAGTTCCTAAATTGCAATAAAAAGTTAAGCATTTTACTAAAATATTTCATCAAATTAGAAAAAAAGTGGTATCTGTTTTTACTCTCAGTAATATTCTTAATTATTCCAAAATGTATGTAATGTATTCATATTTTATATCTTTCTTTTTTAAAAGATCACAATTTTGCATATATGCAACAATGATGCATATACATCGCTTTTTGGTTTTCCAAAGAACAGAATAAAAAATAAAATTTTTATCTGACCTCATCCGTTGTCATGCCATCCTTAATTGAAGGTGATTGCGATAAATGTTCAAGACTGAAAAACCATCTGTGTGACGTTGGCAAACGATTTTCACTGCTATTTGGATGATGCATAGTTGCGTCGCTCGAACGTGATGTGCACTGTATATTACCACTTGGTACATTGTGTGGCCGATTATATTCGGTTGAAGTATAAGGCCGGCTACCATGTATTACACGATCTGACGATGTACTGCTGGATGAAATATTGTGCGTATAAACATTTGATGGATTCATTTCTTTAATTATTTTGGCGGAAATACGAAAAAAGCTGAAAATTGGACATGTATGAAAATTCATACAATATAAAAAAAGAGAAAGCGAACCAAGTAAAAAATTAAACGAACAACTCGCTTAAACAATAAGAATAAGTGAAATATAAAAATATTAACTATGAATTTTCCATAATTTCTTTAAAAAATTACCAAATAAATAACAAATGCTGAACAAGAAAATTTGAAATTCATTCAGCAAAAAAATGGTAAAACATAGATGGAGAAAGATGAATTCTTGATAAAGAAATATGATAAAAACTTTATGAAGTAACTGGCTGAACTCAAACATTGGAAATTCAAATACTAAAGATATCTATATTTTAACATCACCCCTTTGCAAGCAAAAAAACATAAACCTAATTATTCTAAGGAAAATATAACGCAATGACAATGTACTGATGCTTTCGAACCACGGTGGGATTCCATTTCTGGCGGGAGTAAACTTGCAATCTTTCAAAAATCTTAGTGGTACTGGCAACCTAATGTGTTCCACAAAAATTGAAGAATTAAAACTGGAAAATTAAAAATTAAAAAATTAAAAGGAAACAAAAATTAAAAAAAATAAAATACTGCAGAAAAATAAAAATAAAAAATAAAAAAATACTGAATAATAAAGAAGAAAATACTGAAAAATACTGAAGAAAAATACTGCAATAAAATGAATCTTTCAATTAAATAACCGAATATATTATAGATAATTATTCAAAATAATCGAACCATCTTTTATTTAAGCGGCCTTAATTAATAGTTTAATCGCTTCCTTAATCGTGGCAATAATAGGCCTGTCATTAAGCCTATCCTATTATTCGGATAGGGCTAGCAACTCCACTGCGACTACCTAATAAAAATTTTAATAGAGCAGTTAGCCTACCATGAAATGGTGGGTGCTAACCATTTATTTAACAATTTGAATTTGTCATAAGATCATTATGGCTAGCATAAATTTGATCCCACATTATTTTTATAACTTTATCGCATTCTCGTTAGACCTATCAGTGACCTAATGAATGAATGAATGAACGAATCTCTTCCTACAGATAAAAAACGGATTTTCATTCAAAAGAATTAAAAAAAAATTAAAAAAACAAGAATAACAGAACGAAATTATCCAAATTATTGTTATTATTGTATTCATTATTATTATTGTTTTCGCTCCTTTTTTATTGTTTATTGTTTATTGTTTTATATTGTTTTATTGTTTTCGCTCCTTTTTTATTTTTACCACTTCAACTCCACAAACCCAACTGTCTATTCTCTTAATATCATTCAACCTTATATTCCCTCAAACCAACATCAAATATCGCTCCACACTTTTTCTGCACTACTGTAAAATTGCCAAGGATAATAAATAAAAAACAAAAAAAAACTAAGAAGAAAGTAAAACGATGGGTGGAAAATAAGATTAAAAGAGAACGTGATTTCTTTAAGCCATTTTTGGACATTATATTTGGATATTAATTAATCAAATTTACATTCATTTGAGTCTTACATACTGATACTGAAAAAATACCAAATACCTATTTTTATAATTCAATGATGATTGAGGAAGTGGCCGATTTTAAGCATCTTGGACCCACTCTAACCGTGAATGGTCAGGCAAAGGATGAAATTGTAACCGGAATGACGATAGCTAGAAATGCGTTCGGTAATGAAACCTTCATGGAACCGTCGTGAAGTCGCCATAAAGACGAAAATCAGAGTCCATATAACAATTCGTTCGACCTTGCTATGTGGCTATATGGCCTACAAAACATGGCCAATGAAAGTGGAAGATATTAAAAAGCCTTTGACCACTCATGTTTAAGATACAATTTACGGATCCGTCCAGCAGATAAAAACGCACATAATTATATTCATCTTCGCTCAGATACCACCTGTATTAATAATATTATCACAAAGCGTCGTCTTTGCTGCTTGGGACACGTTCTCCGTCGTCTACCACAGCAGTTGACACGTATTTCGCTACTTGCCAAATCTTGACGGTTGGCGTCAAAAGCGAGGAGGGCCAATCAAAATTTGGACTGATATAGCCAGGAAAGATTTTGAACGTATAGGGGGGCCAGCGATATGTGGACTTAAACGATGAAAAAGAAATGGCTTCTATTACTACTAGCGATATAGTCGGACCGAGCAGCTTAAAGACGTCTTACCCAGTGGAGCCAGTGGAGCCAGCCTAGCCAACGGTGAAAGCTGAAAAAGGAGATTAAGTCAGTTAGGTCAGTTAGCAATGAAATCATTGATTACTTCAAAGATTTTTCATTTATCTTACAATCAAATAAAAATTTCACATTTTATATTGTTACACAGAAAAGTTATAAAATTAATTAGCAATGGATGGATAACTTTATATTTTAACGTTATTTTTCACAAACAAACATAAAATGTTAATAATATCCCTTCTTATATTTCCTACGAATATTTAATTGGCTCTTTTCCGAATTTTAAAATTATAAGTTCGCTATACAATGACCGCGCTTTACTGGAAGATTTAAAGTTCATCGATAAATGGTAATAAAAAAAAATGGGCACAAAAATTAATAAGAACAAATTAATATAAATGTAAAGCGTGGTCGGTCACTTCACAGCTGCTTTTTCACAGCCAAAATGAAAAAATATTATTTTTCTAGAATAACAGTTTTCTGAGAAAAATCTCCGTTTTCTTTTTTTCCCCCTCACATATTTAATATTTACATGATGAAGATAGCTAAAAAAAGAAAGATTTATCGTCGATCAGCTTATCAGCTTATCACCTAGCCTAAACAGTTCGATTTTTAAGAAAAAGCCATCTCTTCATCCACACTGTTTCAAAAAAAGGAAGGAAACTCACCAACTACCCACAATTAATTTTAAAAACAGACCGAAACTGAGGACAAATTTTTAAATCCCAACAAGAAAAACGCGCTCTAGGAAGTTTGCCAAATATCGGTATTAACAAATTGCAATACAACCTGATGATCTTCGACTATTAAAAATTCAAAGAAAATAATTTAGCAGCACAATATTCTAGGCGTGGTTCAACGAACAAGGAGGAGGAAGGAGAAAATTATGGGAATTGGCGATAAAAATAAAACGAATGCAGAAGAAAGAAGAGTTTTTCAGTGAGAAATGTTTAGAAAAGTTTAGTGCGAAGCCGTTGATTTGGAATTCTCCTTTTAAAATAATTTTTGCTTTGAATTTTTTTAAAAAACTAAAAATTCGATTCGAACAACAAAAAAATAAATTTAAAATAAATGAATAAAATGTTAAATAAAATGTTAAAATAAACATTTTTTTATTTATGCAAATATTCCAAATATTTCCAAATACTTTACAAATTATTTGATCTAAAAAGGAGGGGTCATGGGTCAACTCTTTAAATCATTGTCCACTGTGAATCGTTCCTAATTACCCAGTTTTGCGGGTCTCTCTCACCCGTCTCAGTATGTCGCCCAGTTTTGCTTATTATTTTGTTTGCTTTCTTCCTTCATTTCTCTCTTTCTTGTTAAGCAGATTGAGATTTTTGCAAATTCCTTTTTCGAGTTGTTTTTTGAAAAAAATTAAGTTTTTTTAATTTTTCATCTAAAGCAAACATTATTTATTATTTATAAATGCTGAGCGTTACATATTCCGTACAGAATCTCATTAAATTTTATCACTCTTATATTCAAATGCAATAAAAAATTCTGATTGACCTTCGTGATATTCTCGTGATATTATTCTCGATTATTCTTTTTCAACTATTCTAACTATTACTATTATTATTATCAATATTAATATCATTAATTATCACAATTTAATTTAATGCAATAGTAGCAATAGTATATGAAAGCTATTTATAGATTACTTCATTATTTATTATTATTATTATTACAATATTACTATTGTTATTCACTATTATCTTTCAATAATTAATTATCATTTATTATAGTCCAATTGCGAGAACATTTTATTTTTTGATATTTTTCCATCATTATTATTTTTTCATGATAATTTGACTATTTTATTTTGCTTGAAAGCAATATTTATATTATTTTAATTATTATACCATTTCAAATACATTTATTCTTTTTTATTTTTTTTTTGTGTATTGTATAAAACATTATAAAAAATTAAATTCAGTCAAATTCAGTTAACTTATTGCTATTATTCACTAATTCGCGAAATTTTTAAGTTATTGATTTCTCATCTATTTTATTGTATTTATTATTAATATTACTAATATGGGTGGTGTTGATATTATCATTATTTGTTATTATATTTAAATTTGATTATTGTCGTTATTGATTACCATTATTATTATTATCATAAATACTTGAAACTCTGTTTCTTGCTTTTCGATTTTAAAGCTTGTACATAATAATAATCTTTTTCTCAGGAAAAAAACAAGAAATAGTTATTAGTCATTTGTTTGCTTTGAGGGTCTCCCTTTAAGGGATTTCTTTAAATTTTTGCATTCAAAAAAAGGGAAATTTATGAGTGAAATTATCCGCAAACTTATTTTGCCCTGAGGGTGCTTTCTATTCGTAAATATATTTAATTTATTCTGAATGCTAAAAAATTTCTTATTTCATAAAATTTTCATGTTAATTTTCACGAGTCTTTACATTCATCGTCAACAATCAACCCATTTTTAATTACCTGTGTTTGTGTTTATGTGTCTTTTATATAAATATTTTATTACATATCGTCTCTTTTTTTACTATTTTCATTTAATTTTATATTTAACGAAAATTTATATTTATTTATTTAGAAGAAGATGGTCAAGAAAGCTGATAGCTCTGCGCTTATATCTATAGCAAATGGCAATAAAATAAAAATAAGAATACAGTAAAAAAACATTGATTAAAAACAAAACTATGATTCGTAAAATTTCTATCAAGCTGATTCCAAACATTCCAATAAAAAATTTTTCATGCATTTCAGATTATTCTGATTGCCAGCCGTGGATCCGTTGATTTTTTTCTTACTTGTTTTCGTCTTCCTTGGCGATCAAAAAAACATTCCTGAATTGTGTTATAAAATTATTCCTTTTTTATAAAATTTCTTATGAACGGAGAGGCTTCTTCATTTATTTAAAATCGCTTCTTTTAACGGAAATTTTGTTTTTTCTAACAAAATTGACCAAAAAATAAAATTGAATATGTGGATTTTGGAAATCCTAAGCATCTGGGAGAAATTCGCCAGTTGGTGAGAAGCGATGAATGCTCTGTGAGTATTGTTGGAATCGGACACATCTAAAATGGATGAATATGTAAACAATGATTTTATCTGGGATACGACGGCTACAACTACAACTGAGGCATTAGTCGAAGAAGATTTATCACTTGGTTCTATTCTACTGGCCGTTATTATGGGTGCAATATCGATCATTACTGTTGTTGGTAATTTAGCTGTACTACTTTCATATTATATTGATAAAAATATTCGTCAACCGAGCAATTATTTCATTTTTTCGCTCGCTGTCTCCGATTTGGTAAGTCTTTTTGATATATTTTTGAAAATCAGGTAAATTTGAATATGATAATTTGCATTTAAAATTTATTTGGATAAAAATTTGTTGAATTTAAAAATATAAATACTTTCTTTTTATTTATATTCTTTAAGTAAATAAATCTTTAAAGGGTATGGAAAAACGTAAAAAAATTTTGTAATTTTGTATAAATTAACGCATCACGAATATTTTCTTGAAGAAAACTTCTCTCTTGTCTGAAGCATCTCATCTCATAAATGTGAAATGTTGACAATTGCACAGCAAATTGGACAACAACGCAGAAAATTCAAAAATGCCATCACCTGTCGTGCTCAGTTGTAAGTAAGACTGATCGTGAAACATATGCAATTGTGAGTTGCGAAAAATTTGTTTAGCAAGATTTTCATGCAAATGATTAATTGGTAGCGAATATTTAAGCAGTATTATACAAAAAAGTTTTTCCAAGAAAATTGCTCTGCGTACGATTTCTTAGAAATTTTTTAATGGAATGTTTTACATTGAATCCTGATTATTAGTTTCCTTTTCAAACAGTTCAGATCCACTTGAATTTGTTAAAAAGTTTTGGTTAAAATGAACGAATTACAACCACATCGAAATAATTTTTATAAAATTGTTCTGTTAATTTTCTTATATATTAAAATATTTTTACTAAATATCTTTAAAATAGGCTAATAAAATAGGTTGTTTTTTAGAATCATTTGCAATAAAAAAACTTCTTTAGAACATAGATATTTTTAAAAGAAATTCCAAGAAAGATTTTGGGATAATTTCCTCAGAAAATTCTGACAGAAATTTAATCAGCTTCTGGCCGGCGATTTTTCGTCATATTTTGTCAAATTGTCATGCAAAATCAATTCATATACTTGCGAAACGTAAAAAAAAATTCTCTTCAATTATTTCGATTAACCAACAGCGAGAGGAGAATAAAAAATTAGGCAGCCTAGGCTATTATTTGGCTTAGGCTTAATATTTCTCTGACGTTTGAAAATAATATATAGTGAAAAAAATTTTTGTGCTCAATGTTCACTGATGCGAAAATGAAAAATAAACCAACATTTAATATCCTTTAAGAAAAGTTAAAAAGCGCCGAAAACATACCCATTTTCTATCTTAAATCTCAAATCGGTCGTAATACAGTAACTTATCCAATATATTCCGTATATTGTAAGAAGTTTAATCAATTATTTTATTATTTATTATATCAGATATGATCAATTTTAACAATGATTTATAATTAAAAATAAAGATTACAAAATAGAATATAAAAATTATAAATAAAGATAACAGCGATAGTTATAGTAATAATAAAAAAGACAGTATAACAGCAACAATAATATTAATAATGATAATAACAAAGTAGTGATAATAAAGGGTGGTAATAGGCAATATTTGGAACAATAACAAGAATGATGATGAAAAGATGGAGAGCAGTGGCTGCGGGCCTATCCAAATTCCCGTCCTTTCCTATCGCATCAAAACTCGTCAACTTTTCTCACTCTCATGAGTATTATCGACATCAAGTTCCTGTCGAAGCGAATAATACCATCAAATAATAAATTATTTAAATTCTTTGTGAAGGATGTTTGATTTTGTAAGACAAAATTAGATATGCATTGCATAATTCAACATAAAAATACCGAAATTTCTACTAATTTGCCATTCGTAGTTCTTTTTTGAAGGAACGAAATTAATTTTGAGTTGATTCGACTCGTTTCGATCCATGAAACTTTCCATGCTCTTTTTATTGCAAATTGCATATTCTTATTTGGCAATTTTAAATTTTTTGCAGTTCTCTATTTCATCATTCAACTTTTCTTCCGATTTTGCAGTTTGTTTTACAAATGCTAACGATTTGAAATTTTCTTCCGTTTTTTTCGCTCTTTTAAGCAATAAGACTTTGTTTTGTGCAAAGCACAATTATAAGCGAGAAGGAAAACCGTCGTCATCATTATCGAGTGCCCTAAAATTTTATTCGTAATTTCAAGTCGTCGTCGTCGATTCACGATAATCAATTTTGAGGCTATTTAATCGATCGAAATTATGCCCCATTAAAATTGTATTAAATGAATGAATATGTCGTTTAGAAATTTTAGATTTAGACTGATAAGATTTAATATGCAACGAATTGTGTGAATAATAAGTATGTAAATATGACAAATTATCTGAATCTTTTGTTATTTTATTTTCAATTATTTTTTGTTAATTTCGAAGAGTGTTTGAAATATTGAAAATTGGTTAAAACTGAAAAAAATTTTGATTAATTTGTCGCCATAGAATTTGAAAAAAACAAGTGAGGAATTCGATTATTTCATTTTATATTAATAATTCATTAAAGCCAAATAGCAAATTTAATTATTTATTACAAATTTAGAAATAAAGAGGTAATGGAAATGTATTTCTGGAAAAGTGAGGTTTTAAGACTTATTAGTTCAAAAAAGGGAAAGGTAATCTAAATTCCCTAATATTTTTTTATTTCTGTCAATTGCTAGGAGCAAAAACGTTTTTGAGAAAATCAACTTTTATTAATTTTCTACCACTGCTTAACATTTTAACTTTTCTCACTGATTGATTATTTAAGACAAGATAGTTGATTATTATGAATTTTAAAATTATCCAGTCATGTAGGGTGTAGAAAAAGCAGTGATTGTTGCTAATATTATATCGATCGTGCTCAAGCTTCTCGCAAGAGAAGTGTTACAAGTGGACTCATGTTCACTTTTATGGACAAGTTGTTTGGAATAAATTTCTCATCGTACCATTTCTCGTTTTTTAGAGCTCTCATCATCAGTGACAGCCTATCCAGAAACGACTAATTTGCTAATCACTTGCTCATTTTAGGCTCATCTTATGAATGGTCCTTATTCTTTCATATTTTTCTGAGTTTTCTGGATAAACTTCGTTTTACCTCATGCATAAATAAATAAATAAGGTGAAAAGTGAAATTATTTATTCGGAATAAATAATAAATACGACCAATTACAATAATTATCTGATTTTATTAATAAGATTCGAATCATTTTAAAGCATTTGAAAAATTTTCAGCTCCATTAGTTTATCATTAATTTATTGATTTCGATTTTCGTTTGGTATTTGATAATTTAAAAAATCTAATTGAAGTTGATTAAATTAACTACAGTGATCGCAATAAGGATTTTCCCAGAAAATAACAATTTACCCACGATGAAGGAATTTTTCTTGAATAGGTTCTTCCCTAAATTGAAAAAAGCGATGCAAAAAATATTATATTTTAGAGAATTAAAAAATTATTCATTCATGATCTCATATTTAAATTGAATTACACTTAAATTTTTTCTATAATTTTATAAATTTTTTAAAATTATCTTGAATTCACGTTTTTATCCAATTTATTCGACATTCATGAAAAACAATTATTGGCTTCAAATCCGATTTATCGTTTTGAAAAAATTTCAAGTACCTTCATTATTAAACAAGGTTTCTTATAAATATTATACAAAAATCTGGTTTTAAATAGTTTTTTTGTCCCTTCTTTTCGCAGCACTTTTTTAAAAAAATATTAACCGCTTTACCAGAGAGCCATATGTTGAGAAGTACAGGTGGGTCGATACAATGCTTGCTACATATCAGCCATTTTTTATTTATTTTGTTGGATTCGGTTAATAAATAATAAATAGACTAATGCACTATGCCAGAATATTTCTATATATATATATATATATATGTGTATATGTATATTATGTCTTTCCTACTCTTTGCTTTTTTCTATTGGTAAATCACCAGGGTAACGAGAATTTATGTCGATTAAGGATTATACTGACTTCCAACGGCATAATGAGAGTCTAATAAAGGGACGTTTTATATTAATTGTTTTTAGCATTGCTGTATATCCACTGGGTGTGAAGTGTTCCATCTGATCCTTTTTCAATCGGATTTCATTAATCCACCTTTATCCATCAATTATAAATGTCCGTTTTTTAATATTTCAAGTGTAATTTGCAAATTTTTAGTCAAAAATGAATTTTTTAAAGCCATTTGAATTCTTTTTGATATTCTTAATAATAGCGATTCGTTACAATTAAATGAGATCGAAAACATGCCATTAACGCGATGTTATTTGAATAGTTGTGCCTTTTTTGGAAAAGAAATAAATTTTAAGAGAAATTGGAAGTCTCAAAATAAATGGAAAAAAAAAAATTATTGGAAATCGCGTCTAAAATATTAAATTATTTGTTTTTTATTATAAAAATTCTCATTATTCATGTTGCTTTTCAAAAATTTTATCTGTATACGATGCCACTTTTTAGTATTTCGTCGAAAATCAATGGTTATTGAGGAATTTGATGGATTTTCTTAGAACCGAGTTTTTCTGCGATAATCCACCGAATTTGATTTTTTGTTATATAATTCATATAACCATAGAATTAAAGTTTTTAATTTATACTTTTTTTTGATTAATCTCTTGAACTAACATTTCTCTAAGCTCGAAATGATTTCAGCTTCATTTGGCCTTTGATTAACTGCTTTCCATAAAGAACGAAGTGTTCTTCGATAGTCAATCATTCAATCATTTTCACTAGAATATATAATTCTTCACTAATATTCCCTAATATTCTTTTCTTCCTCAGACTTTGTTCGAATTCCATAGTTGATTTGCTTTATCTTTTAAGAGTCTTCTCTATTTTTGAATTATTTGTCTCGATCGCATCGATAAATTGCATTTTATATTTAATTGAATTTTTGATTTTTGATAAATTATATCCTTTAAATATTCAAAAAATCAAGTGAAAATTGCTACTTAAACTATGAATAATAAAATTGCTACTTAAACTATGAATAATACAGATGAAAACTGTTAAAACTTTTCGGTAAAATCAGCAATCTTTATACAAATTTATAATGATCCAATACCAGCTGACCAATTGCCATTTTTGCTAAATTTTTTTCGTTTTCGAATTAGAAATTTCCAGAAATGGAAATTCAAATTTTGGAAATTATGATGTGACAATTTATTTGATAAACTCTACTTAATTTCCCAATTT